AATAATGAAGTATCTAAATGACGTTGTTCAAATGAATCTTTTAATCTAAACCATCCATTATTTTCATCTGAAGCTCTCACTAAACAGTAGATTTTAAGTACATCAGAATTTCTTAATAAGTCTCGAAGGATGAAAGAGCCAAGAGATCCAGTAACTCCTGTTATAAGGACCGTTTCGCCATTTTTTCCATCACCACTTGAAGTTCCATTAACGTATCCTACAGAAGGAAAGCTATCGATTTGATTATACTTTTTAATATATGAGTTTACTTCGTCTTTAAGAATCTGTAATTTCTCTTCATAACCGTCTTTAGCAAATTGTTTTTGTGAAACATTGATTTTTGATAATTCTTTCATCAAATAATGAGTAAGGCTTTGAACAGTATTTTGCTCAAAAATCACATCATAAGGAAGGTCGATAAATGAAAATTTATTTTGAAGAATAGCACGTAATTTAGTTGCAGATAAAGAATCTAGACCCAAAGCAAAGAGTGAAGTTTCGTATTCGGTAATTTTTAAAAATGAATCGCCAATGGCTAATTTAAGAGAACTTAATATGGTGGCTTTTACAGAATCTTCATCCCATTGATTATCATGATTATCAGAAAAGGATTTCTCATTTGAAACAACTCTTATATTTACTAAATTATCATAGAGCATTTCTATTTCTTCTTTAAATTCTATTTCAACTCTTTTACGTTGAATATTATTTTTCATGGTTCTAGGTAGCATTTTTCCTTCAAGAGGTAATATATAAACCATTTCGTCAAAGATTCGAGAATGTGATGGGCAATTAATATTAGCTTGATGAACTGAATCAAAGATACTTTTCGTGATTTCCAAGAAAGGTGTGTTTTTTACACGATCAAAATCGAGTTCTATTAAAAGGCAATTAAATGGTCTATTATGTCCAATGACAACTACATGTCTAACAAATTGATTAAGACGAATTGTAACTTCCATTGGTACCGGATTTGTTTTTTCACCAGTGGTATGAATAAGTGTATCATCAACTCGACCAAGTAAAAGATATAAACCGGAACCTTTTTTAGCTTCAATAAAAAGGTCACCTA